ATGGGAGTTAACAAAAACAACAATAACATCAAAAACATAGTAATATACCGAATCATTAAGAATCTAAATATTAGTTTATAAGGCAGTCAGACATTAAATGCATACAAACTGCCTGGAATGGTGCTGCTGGATAAAACTGGAGTGTGACCACAAGTTCCACCATGTCAGTGGTTCAAAGCTACCAGCCCCTCTTCAGAAACCCTATACAGGGTCACTGTGAGTAGGAACTGACTCAACAGCACTTCACAACAAGGAAGCCAAACATTAATTATATATAAAATTCAATACTAAGCAATACAGTGGAATTTAAAATATGGCTTCTTAATAACCAAAATATATATTTTAAATGATTTTAAGCAGAACAATTTATGAATAAGTCTATTGGGAAAGGTAATTTGCATTATAATATATTTATATCATTAACTCATTTATGTAATTTTGTGAAAACAGTAACTTTTTTCAACATTATATGTTCTAAATAATTATAACTAAGAAAATTGGTAATATGTAAGCAATCTGTGATGTATACATTTTTATTTTATTGACATGTTCCTTAAGAAATTGATTTATTTACCTTATCTTAACTGACTCTTTATATATCAAGTTGCCTGTTTATACTAAATTTTGAGGTATAGTCATTGCTAGCAGTCATTGAATTTGTACTGAAAGTGGACAGTTTAATCAGTCATACTGTTTTAGTACATGTTGTTATGTGCTATTGAGTGGGTTTCAATTTATAGTTGTCCTGTGTATAAGAGAATGAAATTCTGACAGCGAATGCATCATCCTCACAAGCATTCCCATGTTTGGGATTATTGTTACAGGTATTGTATTAATCCATCTTGTTGAGGGTCTTCCTCTTTTTCACTAATATTAAGGTTGTGGGTGGGAAACACCAGTCATTCCACAAATGAAAGATATATCCATATACTTATGAAATGATTGGTGATGTTGCTGTTAAATGACTTCAAGTCGGTTCTGACCCATAGTGACCTTGTATAGGGTTTTCAAGGAGACACTGGTAAGCTTGAACTACCGAAGTTGTGGTTCAAACAAACTTTGCAGTCTAACACATTAACCCAGAGTGCCACACCATGACTCTGAAAAAATCACAGCTCTGGAAACTCTATGGGGCTTCTCAAATCAGTCCTTTACCACTGCTATGATTCAAAATCAACTCAGTGGCAAAGGGGTTTTAGTAGATGTTGTTGTTGTTAGGTGCATCAAGTCAGTACTGACTCATGATGACCTTATGCACGCACAGCAGAACAAAACACTGCCTGATCCTGGGCAAACCTCACTATTGTTGCCGTGCTTGAGTCCGTTGATACTTCCACTTGGCCAATCCATCTCGCTGGGGGGGTCTTCCCCTTTTTCCCTGACCCTCCACCTTATCAAACATGATATCCTTCTCCAGGGAATCGTCCATCCTGACAAT